AACCTCTCTCTAAGCAGTATTGCAGGAGGTTGCGTGAGGATTTTGAATAAAGGCGGGTCGCCAACAGCCGCTCAGATTGTGTTCGAGGTTGCCCCCTTTAGCGTTTTGACTCAAGAACCTAAGCACGAGGCAGCGGAGGCAAGAAAACTTATTTAATAGTAGTTCACGATCACTCTGCGACAGTGGCGTCAATGGGATTTGCCCCAGACCTCAGGCCCACGTACCCTGGTAGCACTGTCCCTGTTGGTGCGCGATTGCTTATTCGCCAGACCCGAGAGCCTGCTTGTCTCACAACCAACCTTCGCTGAAGGTCGTTACTCTATTCGCCATCTGTGGACGCGCCAGGTAACAAACTACTAGGCGCAAAAAAGCAACAGTGCTCAATATATCAGGGTTGTTGTCTAACGAGAACAACTGAGGGTCACCAGGCTCGAATGAGGAATGACCGCATGGCGTTGGTCGGTTTTAAGAGAGGGTCCATGAACACCACAGAAATAGCCCGATTATTACAGAAGGTACGAGTACGGGGAATATATGCAGTCAACTACGAGTAAAAGACAATTGGTCTTGAGATAGATCCTCCGAAGAAAGTTGTATTCGCATAAAGCGGCCACTGGCCACTTAAAACGTGACAGTCTACATTTGCTACAACAACCTGGCGGATGATTAAGAACATAGATTCGATAAATATTTAGTTGCGCCGCGAATTCTCTGGGATCGTTCGGTAGAAAGCATAACCTGACTCAGTCTGTCCGATTTAGAGGTGCATTCTAGGACTCAGTGCTTCTGCCTCGCTAAGGCGACAAAGAATGAAAAGTCGAGAGGTAAATATGGCATTTAACATACGTCTTTGCTGGCAACACTGAGCTGCAAATTCCCCAACATAAACAGGCTTCCATCCATAGGGCTTGAACTCGGCTACAGCTATGTGGATGCAGCTTGTGATTTTCGGAGGAAAAAAAGTTTGCCGAAGTTAACGCCCATCTTCACTCTCCTGACTAGAAATGCAGCGACTCATTCTACAAAAGAGCGACACACCTGACAACAGGCGGAAAACTCCGCGCTATGGGATGAGATGGAAATAGGGGCGTGGCCTCCTCCCAGGAGATATCTATATCTCGTTACACTTCACATCCACATTGTGAAATCGATGTAGGGATCAGAAAGTGTTCTATCTGGGTCAAGTTAAATGGGCAGGCGTAAAGACAAAACCCGAGGTTGCAACTCTTATCCAAGTTCTTCGCAATCAGCCCTCGGCCTCGTCATTTTGGTTTAATTAAGTAATAAACACTAGTGAGCGAAATAAGTTCTACACTTTTTGTAAGAAGTTCCACATGTTGTTCCGAGTTGAAAGACTACAGAACTCGCACACAAGCAGTAGTTTTCAATAGACAACACGACTACAAGTGCGGACAGTGAAACAAAACTAGATACCAACCGGAGATCGGATGCCCGGCTGTTGCGAATAATCATCGCCGAACGCATTCAAGTGGTATTAAAAGTGACAACCATACAAACAGAGCTC